CTATTTTGCACTATTTTTATATTTACTTTTTTACAGACATAATCTAAAGTGGCATTAATACTAACATAACAAACTATTCAAAACATGTCTTTTCAAAGTGAAGTATTAAGCTGTATTTCAAAAATGCGCTAAAAATAAAATCATTAACTAACATAACTTGTCATCATAAAATTTAGGCCAAATAAATTATTTAGTGTTTAAAACCAACTTAATTGAATATAGACAATTACATAAATGTATTTATTAAAATATTTTTAACAAAACAGCAACAAATTTTAAAGATTAAACAACTAACCAACCATCAGCGTCAACCTTCAACACAGAGAGGAAACAAGACATCAAACAGTCCGAAACATTGGTAAAAACCAAAAACATTGAATGTACTTTGCTTTAAAAATATGGAAAGCTTAACTTTTTACAAATTAAAATTAATATTCAAAAACCATAAGTCAAGACATGGATAAAAGATATTTATCTAAAATATTTTAGTTAAACTATTTAGTTAGCAACTAAAATATTTTAGTTAAACTATCGTTTTAACTAAACTATTTTTTTTTAGTTAAACTAGGAAGGAAACTAAAAAAAAGTAGTTAAACTATTAGTTTGCAACTATTTAATTAAACTATGCCCATCACTGGTAATAGCAGGTATTTGTAGGCAGCTATACTGACTAACCCAATGCAGCTATACCACAAAGATACTATACTATAGACTATAGAGCATAATCTATACAAGCTTTTAACCGCACTGTGACTGACCTGTTCTAAAGGACAGACACAAATTGCTAGGTAAAGCAAAATAATAATAAAAAAACCTTTTTGGTCACTGATATTTTGGTCACTGATATTGTGCCCCCCCAGCCCTGCGCCCGGGGACAACTGTCCCTCTCTGCCCCCCCTCGTTACGCCACTGCACTAGATTGGTCTGATCCGTTAGTACATCTGTAATTCCAGTTAATACCTGAAAGTTAAAATCCCCAATTAAAGTTTTTCACCATTAATTCCCATAAATATATTACAAAGTCTGAGTAAATTATCATTATTAACAATATTCGAGCTGGGACTTCTATAAACAACAAGCATATAAAACAGTCCCAAACTTCCATTAAATTTTAGATATAAATATTCTCAAATATAAACATTCCTTAAAATTTACCCCCAAATTAATTAATTAATTGTAAATTATACCCAGATTTAACATAAAAAAATGCCTCTATGATTTTTTCATGAAGTTAACAGCATAAGAAAGTAATTATTTAAAAAACATTCTTGTACTAATAATTTTTTTGGGTTGATCTCAGTAAAGATAATCACATCACTATTCATACCAAAGTGTTAAGCTAAACTTTTATTTTATTCAGTATATGGGTAATACGATCTACATTTGAATAATAAATATTGATCTAATTATTTCTAGAACCTAGTTTGTTTTTATCTTTATTATTTTCGTTTCTTTTGAAGTACCCTTTACCCTATGATTTTTTGCGTCAGCAACCAACTTTCATTTCTCTCTTTACTCCTTATTCAAATCATAATTGAATTCTATATATCTCAAATTATAGTCCAACCCTTTTATTTTTCTAAGATTTTCCATCACTATGTTTCTATATTTTTGTCATAGAATTTGACAATAATTGGCCTAGCCTTATTACCCTTGGGACTAAGCCTAAAAATGAACTTTATACAGCTTTCTTTAATATGCTCATTGGACAATTTATATAAAAAATAATTTTTACATAAAAAACAGGTCACTTTTTTATCCTTTACTACAAGCCCCGACTCTTTACTACCTTTCCCACTCTTTTCCCTTGCGCCCATTTCAAACTCAAGTGCAAGACAAATGTTATATGTTCAGCGGACCAACGGCATACTGGCTAATAGTAATAATCTGTTAAAAAAATGAATTAAAAAGAAGCAGGAAATTATACTTGGCTCAACTAGTTATCTCCAGCGTAACCAACAAATCTGGTCTGATGTTGAGATAAACGCTAACCACGCTAACCATACAACAAAATCTCAATTACTCATAATAAACTTAACTGACTCCTAGCACACACATAACAAACAATAAATTAATGTTATTGAAATAAAAATAACAAGGTGTTTCAACATTGGACCTGCCAACACTGCACAGCGTGTTGACAGAATTGAATGAGTTGGCAGGTGTTGTTGGTGGACCCACAACAGCCGCTGCCGCTCCAGCTACTATTGTAACAACTTCTACAACAGATACTTCAACAAACAATCAATTGGTTACTGTGTCAACAACAATTTCAACAACATTTGCAAGTACGCAGTCATCCTCCCTATCATCCTTCTCTTACTTTACTGTAGACACAATGGCAGCACTATTACCGTCTACGACTGTGCAACAAACATCAAATTCAACAACTGCAATCTCACCTGGAGCTGGAGATAATCATTTCAACAACGATGAAAGGTTTGCTTTGATATTGATTATCTTGAACTCGACAGTTGTTTTCTTTTTTGCTTTTATTGACTGGTACCACTTTTTCAATGTTTCTCATCTCAGAGGCATATTCCATTCCAGTTATGTTAAAATTTTCAACTTGTTAATGATAATGCTGGTGACAATGCTGACATTGTACCGAGAATGACAGGGTGACGTCGACAATGATAATGGTGATAGTGATGATGACATCATTTTTGCAATTTTATTATGACATTGTATAAAAAAAGTAGTAATGATACTGCTTCCCTTGGTGATAATGATGATGATGACGATGCTTTGTAGAATGGCATTGAGTGGAGAAACACCGTTGTTGTTGACTTATCAGAATGTCTTCCCGCCAGCAATTGATGACCAGCAAGGTTTGAAAGAATCGCATTTTATGATCTATTTACATGTTACATTCCTTAAAAATAGGCACTATTTATAAACTTGTACACTGTTATTTCATTGTTCGTTCACGTTTTTGACTGCTGCTGCTGCTGCTATACTCTTCGTGCCATGCATAAAGCGTCGTTTTTATTGGTTCAAACATTATGATTTTCCATTATTTGTATTTCACTTAGTACTTATAATAACAATAATTATTATTATTATTGTTATTATTATTGCTATTATTACTATTAGGTGTGAGTCCCCTCTCAACGAATGGTACCTCATTAACTGATGAGCTGAATGAGGCCACACTTAATGGGTTGGTGGTTAATTAACTATGCATTTGTGTGTGGTTGTGTGTGTGATTGTGTTTTTGTGATTGGCCGTGTGTGTGTGTGTGTGTGTGTGTGTGTGCGTGTGCGTGAGCAGCAGGAATCGATGAATGATTGGTGAGATGAATTAATCGGAATGACACAATTACATCTTTGAAAATATCATGGTGACTAACCTGACAGAAGACGCGTTAGGTATTCATTGTGAAATCAAGAAATCAAATGAATATTTGAATGATGACGCTTGTTGTTGGTGATGATGAATAGATGGATGGTGATGATGATGGTGGTGCAACTGTGGTAGCGCATTATTTTTAATGATTTGGACATCTGCACACAGTGACAGTCCTCAGGATGTTGCTGATGCGCCACTTCTTGAATCTCTCACTACTCCAACTAACAACGATCAAGACGACGATGACGATGATGGTGATGATAATGAGGAGGAGGAGGAGGAGGACGTTGATGATCACCATTCGCCAACTCTATCAATGAATGCACAATCTATATCATCAGGCAGCACCACTACTTCCACATCTTCAAACGAAACAGTAACTTCTCCAGCAGCTGCAAACAACATTCCTCCGACTGAACAAATGACTACAACAGCCTCAGCTGCACCACCAGCAAGCACTTCGGAGCCTGTCGCATCAACATCTTCCCAGCCTAACATGTTTGAAGGTCAGTTTGTTACCGTGCTTTTTATTTATTGCAGTTGTTATTTCACTCACTACTGATGCATTCATTGTCGCATGTTTTCTTCAACATTGCTTCAAACACTACTCATAACATAATCTAAGCTCCCAGGACCCGTGCTTAAAGTTAAACGCAATTTTAACATTATGTGAACAGCTAATTAAAGCCTCTACTTATGACATACATTTTTAGTTATATATATTGTGTGCGTGCGTGCGTGCGTGCTTGTGTGTATAACAACCGATAGTATGTGACCTTAGTAAAAGAAGAATGCGATGGGCAGGTCATGGGCTGAGGATCGTTGAGAACAGACCCCAGGCAAGAATTTTCAAATACGCCAGGGAAATGAGCCCCTGGATTCACTCGAAATGAAGATTTAAAATGAACTAGCTTACCAATTCATGGGAAAACAACAGAAGGAATAAAAATGTCAATTGAGAAACTGGCTACCGTCAATTATGGAGAGATGTCATGGAATGAAAATAAATGATGAACTGAGTAGCTGGAATCAGCTCATAGATGATTGCATAACTATGATAATTATCAAATAAATTATAATTTATTTGACTTCAAAAGATAACAAGAACAAATGAAGTACAGAGGGTGACTGTGAGAATCAATAAGTACTTGATACATTTATATATTTTAAAATAAGATGTTGCAGCTCATTACCAGCTTTGATGACATAGTTGGCAGTTTGGTTTACATCATCACAATTCTGTTTTTGAAGAGATTTTTTTTTTTGGTCTTTACTGAGTTTAGTTTGAGATTAGACCTCTTGCTACTAAGCATCTATATTGTGGTGGATGTAGATTAGGCTAACTCTCGTTCATTTGCATACACCTGAGACGAGGTTATTTACAAAATTCCGGCCTGCCAGTGTCTCTCAAATGTCAACTCTTATTAATTGCAAGTAGTACTTTTCTCTACTCATTCAAAATTCTGTTTTTTTTTTATTGTTCAAGGATGCCAAATGAATGTGTCTTAGTCCATTTAGACTTGGCTAATAATTTACACAATGTTAATGATGCTGTTTTTTTAAAACAGCTGAAATTACTCAAGATTACTAATACCGATTAATCAATTTGTCCATAATATAATAAATTGAAATTCCCAGTCTTGCGGAACCATTCGTCATATATTTAATTGCAAACGTTTATTGACACACATCTGTCAATCTAATATCCAAATCATGACACCATGGAACAATCCAGATATGCAAACAGTTGTTTGATTGAACGATCCAGACATGTAAACACTTTTTTGATTGAACAATCCAGATATAGTGCTACCCGAAGGAGTGGATCCTTCCTTCTTAGCTGCACTTCCAGAGAACATCAGACACGAGGTCATCATGGAACAACTTAGACTTCAACGCATTCAACTGCGAGCTCAGCAGCAACAACTCGAGGCTCAGTCATTGGGTGTATCAGAAGTCAGTCCTGAATTCCTAGCTGCTCTTCCTCCCAACATACAAGAAGAGGTTGGTGTTTGTCATCAGCTTGTGTTGTTACATTCATCTCATCACACAATCTTTTTACCAGTTTCTACTCTTACCAACCATTCCATCATCCTATTCTATTTCTCGATGCACAATTCTATTTGGTCACTTTTAGGTTCTTGCACAGCAACGAGTGGAGCAGAATCGTTTGTCGCAAAATCCGGAAACCCCTATGGACCCGGCAAGTTTCATCCAGTCACTCCCATCCTCTCTACGTCAGCAGGTTCTGGCAGACATGGACGACAGCATGGTAGCCATCCTGCCTGCTGACCTGGCTGCTGAGGCAAACGTGTTGAGGAGGGAGTTGGAGGACCGACATCGCATACTCCTTCAAGAACGACTTTTCAATCAGGGAGGTGTCCTCTCGGGCATATTGAGGCATCCTGGTGGGTGTTGTATCTTGATGGATGGATGGATGGATGGCTGTGATGAAATATTATATTCAACTGTTTATAACTCTGTTTGAAATGTGTAATTTTTAATAGTTGCGCTGACTGTTTATTAACTCATTTTAAAACATTTCTTCAGGTTATTCTCCACGAAACATCACAAACGCAAGTTACACCCTTCGTTCACTTCCCATGAGGTCACACTGGAATTGGGCTGGTGGTGGTCGAGGGAATAATGCTGCTGGTGGTGCAGGTGGAACACTGACTGCTGCAGCTTCAAACGCAACCAAGATACGAGGCAAACATTTGTTGGATAGCGAAGGAATATCGTGCTTGTTGGTCTTGTTATTTGTGGATGACTCTCGAATGAACACAACACGACTTCATAGAGTGGTGAGGAACTTGTGCTACCATGCTCCAACACGTCACTGGATCATTGAGGCCCTCCTCTCCATCTTGGCCAAGACTGATGAACACGTGAGCCAACAACTGAAACTTCAAAACCAACTTTCCATTGAACATGGTGATGTGCATGCACAGCAACAACAAAGTTGCCAACAACCCAGCAAAAAAATTGTATGTTCCTTTCTGTGTGTTTGTCAGTCAAAATTAGTTTTGTTATTAAGATTTTTATGATATTATGACATTTTTTCATTCAGTTGAATGTGTGTGTATTATATATATGTATGTATAAGTTTGTGGGATGTTGAAATGTAGTAACCTGAAGCACAATCGATGTTTGTGTATCCATTGGAGGCCGATTTTTTTTGCTAGAAGTTTGATTATAAATATCTGAATCGTCACAATACTTTCAATAATTCATGTTTATAAGCTGCTTGGTTGAAAGGCATCTTATGAGTGTTTACATTTTGATACAGTTTTTTATTAAATCACTTTGCCCTAACCCTACAACAACAACAACACACGTTTAGACGACATTTTCCCCGAGATCGGGGGTTGCCGTTTGGCTACCTATGATGAAACCGAAATACCCCTCGACGCCATCCACATCTGTCACTCGCCTCAGTATCACGCAACCCCGCTTTCACCCTGTCCTTCTCCACCTGCTCTCTCCATCCCAATCGCGGACGACCCCTTCCTACCACTCCTTCAACCTCGAACTCCAACGCTCGCCTAATCCCGACCCTTTCATCCCTTCTCAACACATGTCCATACCACCGCAATCTCAATCTCCTTATCAATGTCACAATGTCCTCATTCAGTCCCATCATCGACATCAGCTCTGTACTACTCCTCCTATCCTTCACTTTAACCCCACACATCATCCTCACCATAGCTCTTTCAGCCCTCTGCAGTACACTTTCTTCCTCTCTCCTCAACACCCAAGTTTCACCACCATATACCATCGCTGCTCTCACACAAGCTTTATATACCCTCCCTTTCATCTTTACTGACCATTTCTTTCCACACAATACCCCACCCAGTTCCCTAAATTTCATCTATCCCACACGAACTCTAGCCGTAACTGCGCTCAAACATCCTCCATCCGCGTTCAGCTTATCCCCTAAGTAAACAAAGCTTTCCACTCTTTCAATACCACCACTCAACCCCGTCCTTGCGTCCGTCCTATTAATCACACCATGAACACATTTCTTACATTTGAACGTGCCTTCCACCTTTTTCAGTGCCCCCCTCACACCACTACATCTCTTATGCACCCATTTCTGACATCCTATACACCATACCGAGTTAGCCTTCACTCTCCTGTCACATACCCCACAGGGGTCTATTTTACTTATCACTCGCTCTCCACCTTCCCCACTCACCATTACCTTCGTCTTACCAATATTAACTTTTACTCCTACCTTAACGCTTAAAGCGTCCGACATCCCCCTTCCAACCCTCACCTTTGTCTTTGCCCCTTCATACAGCTGCATCACAGCTTTAACAAGTCTCTCATTCACTCCTTTCTTCCTCAACGCCCATTCATTGACCTTCCTCGGTACTCGATCAAAAGCCTTTTCTAGATCCACAAAACACATGTACAATCTTCGTTTCTTCTTTCTGTAATTCTCCTGCAACATTCTCACCATGAACAACGCATCCACCGTTCCCCTACCAGGCATAAACCCACACTGCATTTCATTAACTGTCACCATATTTCTCAACCTCCTCTCAAGCACCCTCTCCACTACCTTCATTCCGTGCTCTAGCAATTTCACACCCCTGTATGACCCACAATCTCTCACATCTCCTTTGCCCTTATACAACGGCACCAACACACTATGTCGCCAATCCTCAGGTATACCTTCATCATCAAACATACTGTTAGCAATTCTCATCATAACTTCAATTCCTATCACCCCTCTCGCTTTTATATGTTCTGCCGCCACTTTCGAAACCCCTGTCGCCTCACCTAGTTTCATTTCTCTAACTGCTTTCTCTACTTCCTCCATCGTCACCTCTATAGGTCCGTGTGTGACCGCGGATTCCACATCTCCATCCCACTCATTCTCTTCATTCATCAACCTTTCCGTATGAGCTTTCCACACCTGAGCTTTTTCCTCCTCATGTATGCACAACTTGCCAGATCCATCCCAAACACATCCATTCCCTATAACATCTTTCCTATCCCTCATTGACTGCTTTGCTACTTTGAACATTTTCCTCGAACTCACATCAAATTCCATTTCCTTCATTAACCTATCTAATGCTTTCGTCATTGCAGTTGCCACTGCCTGTTTTGCAACCTTCTTAGCCTTCCTATACTCAGACTCCGCTTCCTCCGTCATGTCCCTTCTCCATACCCTAAACCTCTCCTTCTTGACCTCCAAAACCCTTCTTATATCTTCATCCCACCACCACGTCTCACCATGCCTACACTTTCCTTTCGTCCATCCACATACTTTATCTGCCGTAGCCAACACACAGTCCCTGTATCTCTCCCAAACATCTCCATCCTTACCACTCTCCCAATTTTCAGCCACCTTCACTTCAAATGTCTTCCTCACCTCTGCATCCTGCAACTTCCATGTCTTTCTCTTTGCCACAAACTTATCCTTCTTCCTCCTCCCCATTTCTTTTGATGTCACATCCATCACAACGATACTATGCTGCAGCATACCAGGTATCGCCTTCACATTCTTCACATACTTCTTATGTTTGGCCCTTACCAATATATAGTCTATCATTGACCTATGCTCCCCTAACCTATATGTAATCATCCGCCAACTCCAACACTCTACGCCTTTCCTCATTCCGTATACCATATCCCCATCCCCCATGTACACCTTCATATCCATCTGCATCCGCCCCTACATGACCATTCAAATCACCCAACAACACCACAAACTCATCCAACCCCGCTTGCCCAATCTCGTCAGAAACATCATCATAAAACCTATCCTTCTCCTCTTCCTTCCTACTTTGTTGCGGAGCATATCCTGATATCACCCTCACTATTACTTTTCCAAACACCATCACCACCACAATTACACCATTGCTTCTCCGCCTCACTTCCAATACCTTCTCCACCAACTTTTCTCTTACCATCACACCAACTCCTCCCGTACCATCATCCTCCTTCCACCACAACTTATATCTTCCACCTTTAGCCCCCACAAACCTTGTACCCTCACCCTTTCATCTGATCTCCTGTAATGCAGCCACGTCAACCATTCTCCTCTGCAGCTCCTCCACCACTTCCAAACTTCTTCCTGTCAACGTGCCTACATTCCAGGTACCAAACCTCCAACCCCTTGGTCTACAAGTAGTCTTTCCATCTATAGTGCCTTGCACCGCCACACTATAGAGTGGGGTGCCGGTAGCCAGACCATCCACAGGGCCTTGCACCACAACCCCATGGACTGGGTCTCCGGAGATTCTTCGCACCCTCTTCTGTCGGATACTGAGGGCCATTGTTATTTCCGTCATCATAAGTATTATTTTTCGGCTAGTTTTTACGCAGGACGCCCTTCCTTACGCAACCACAGTTATAAGCGGTGGGCCTAGCCTTAGATGATCCAACATCACTCACAAGGCAGTTTAATGTCATAACCAGAACAAACCTATAGAAATTTATTCAAGTTAGACCAAACTCAGTTTCTTCTAAAACTTCTATTAAACTCAAGAAAATATAGTCTAGAGAAGGACACGTACATTTGCAAGGTCACAATTATATTAATACTTTCAAATAATTCTCTATTCTGAGCCCCTTTCTGAATCATTTTGATCTTTCACTAAGTAGTTGATGATATTGATGTGCGATTACTCGCTTAACAATTTGAAAGATTTTAAAACAATTTAAGATTTAAAGAGTTGAAAAATTAATTATTTTTTTATGGCAGTCATCATCCGACGATCCTACCATCTCAGCGCAAGTGAGCCATCAAGATGATCAGACGAGTGCACAAGATGAAATCAGCAACACTCCATCCTGGCTCAACATTTATCTTTGTGCTGCCCTCGGCTCACAAACTAACGTTTTCCGACTTACCAGAGCTCCGACATCGTCAGCCTGTCCGTCTAGGAAGCACTCGTCCAAACATGCACCCCCACTGACCATCTCACTACATCCTCAGGCTGCCCCACTCATTTGCAGACATGTCCTTGACATTCTCATCTCACTTGCAAAAACGTTTCCCACTCATTTCATTCCTAAATCGTCGAACGAGCTGCAAAGCGATGGACATAAACCTAAAAGTACCACTACAGCAAATCAAACAACATCAGCTACTTCTCCACCTTCACTCACATCTGCCAACAACTCTGTTACTACAGTCAAAGTTGATTTCTGGGATTCGCTCATCAAATTAGACTCTTTTCTTGCAAGTAAGTATCAATCTTTCTTGTTGTGTAACTCATTTTGATTTATATTGTGGAGCAGAGTTATGACAGGTTGAAACTAGGTGAGAACTCGTTTGTTGGTTGTTATCTTTTGAATTGATGATTTGCAAACTGATGCTGATAATTAACGTATATTGTTGTTTGGGCACAAATAAAATTTACCTCATCGTGACATATTATATTTCGTCAGTGTTGTGAACTTTTTTCTGTTCAAGACCAATCGACGGATATGTTTTGTGTTTTATTATTATTTGTATCCTCATTTTTTCTACCGGATTGCAACAATTTAATATAAATTAGAAGCAGTGTGTCAGCTAGCTAGCAAGCATGAAATGAACTTCATTACAATAGACAGGAAAGGCAAGTCGTCATTGAAGGATCGAACTTTGTCATCATCTTCCTCCTCTTCCCAACATCCCAGCAACCAAGAACTATCGACACACCAAAACTCATCATCACCTCAGGTCGTAAGTGATCGTTCCTGTTTGGGACAACTGATGACGATGCTTTCTCATCCAATAATAAGGAAAAGTCAGGTGTGTTTACATTTGGATCAGATATTTACTATCCATCCAAATTTGGCTCAGATCAGATATCTCTGAGGGTAGTTGACTAAATAGGCAAAAATTCGCTACATTTAAATTAATATGTTTCGTTAATATCTGTTTAGGTAAGCATTAGTATATTATTAAAATGTTTTAGGCTTAAAAATTAATTTGATTTCTAGGATTTACATTCGTTTAATGTTTATTTAATATAAAATATTGTGCTTTTTAATGTATGAATACGACCAAACCTATGTTATCAAAAAGACAAAGTTAGGGGTTATAATTGATTTCTGTAAATGCTCTTGAACTTCAGCATACTCATTATTAACAGGAATGCAGGCACCCAAGCGTTCGTTTTGCTGCTTCACATTGTGCCATCATTCGTTATGAAATATTTTTTGTTGACAGTGTTTTCAATTCAATATTAATTACAGTGTTTCTGTTTGTGGTGATGTTTTGATGCTAACGTCGGCCAATCAATTAATCGATTAGTTCACATTCATTGATTAAATAAATGAGTCTTCAAATATATGTGGTCGATTGGTTGATTGATTGACAGATCGCTTGATCGATTCATTGATAGATTCATTCATTAATTTTTAGCTGCTGACAGATCGTCTATTAAGACTTCTGAGATTGATTTCCGTAGCATTCTGTGACGCCAGCAGTGTTACTCAGCAGGCATCCACAACTGCGCCACCGCCGTCGTCCACGGCTGCTTCATTGTCCACAGCTGCTGTACCGTCACTTTCATCAGCCGTTACAACAGCGACTACAACATCATCTTCAGCTACGCCGCCCTTGTTAGCTGGATCATCGTCATCAGCTGGACCATCGTCAACGGCGGCTGATAGGACGACAGATGCAACCACTGATGAAAATATGGATACCAACTCTGATGATGTCCAGTCTGTTGTTATGGAAAGTGAATTAACATTAGTAGTGGAGGTGAGTTAGTGATGTTTATTTTATATATATATATATTTTTTTTTAATTTTAACAATTTTTATTAATGGAGACCTGAAGCAATGCTTGTATGGCCACCCTCCAAAAAAAATAACGTAACGTAATATGACAGGAAATAAACAAAACACTATATAACATAATTAGCAAAAAGAGATGTTGCAAAACTGAAATTGTTCAATTTACTTTAACATAAAAATCTTTAAAATTAAAGTTCTAATCAATTAAAATATAATTTTAATGTTCATAATATAAAAACCAAAGTGTCATGAAAACATATTGATGAAATATAAATGATATTTAACATAAACTTTAGTTTTATATATTTAATTAAACAGCAGAAAAATATCCAAAATTTAACAGTATAATTATTGATTTCTTAAACTTAATTATGCTAGACAATAATTTTATATTAGAAGATAAGGAGGACCATAATTTAATACCATAAATAAATAAAGAATTAGAGAGCAGATCAGTTCTTACAGTTGGAACATAAAATTCAGGGGTATGTCTAGTTTGTCTCTTAACAATTGAGTTAGA